AGTTGCAGGCTCAATTCCCAGGTCGGGGCACTTGCAGGAGGCGACCAATCGATGCATCTCTCTCTCATCCATGTTTCTCTCTCTGTCTCTCTCTCTCCCCCTCCCTCCCTTCCACTCTCTCTGAAAAGCAAAAAATATGCTCAGGTGAGGATTTAAAAAAAATGTTTTTTAAACAAAACCCTAGAATTCTGATCTTCACCCCTCGCCACACACCGCCCTGGAACCACCTCTCATCCCTGGCAAGAAGTAGCCAATTTTACAGACGCCTGTCTAGGACAAGTCTGGGTGCGGAGCCCTGAAGACAGTGACTTTCCATCTGCAACCTCAAAAAAATCTAGTGAGTCGCAATCAGCAACTAATAGGTCTGATTGCATCACATTTAAGAATAAACTTCAACCCCTAAAATTTGTATCTGTCGTATATCAATATTTATACCTACGTGTTTCTTGCTGTGAGTACACAGTCCAGACAAGTTAGAGCCACTGATTTAAAGATTAGGTCCCTCTAGATCAGAGATTTAGATCCGAGGTTTAATTTCCCAGATTTAAAAGGTAATGCTTGAAAGGAATGGGCTGAGGAAGGTTCTGAGTAAGCCTGCGTGGAGTAGACACCACGTGGGCAAAGGCCCCTAGGGTTTCTGTGGGAGACAATCACGGATAACAGCAGCAGAGCCCAGACTGCAGGCTGGGCAGGAAGCAGATGCCTCAGCAGGTCCCCACTGGCTGTGTGACCACATCCAGGGGAAAGTCAACAGCTCCCCACGCTCTGCGCCTCTCAGCACTCTACGAGGGAACCAATAACAAAAGAGAATTTATTTTTTTAAGTACAGGACCCCAATGTATAAAACAAAGATGAGTGAAGATGTTTCACTAATGGAAGGTACAGGGAAAAATCCCTCTCTGGCCCCAGTTGTGGCCCTAGAGGCACTTCTACTTTATTTGATCTTTAAGAGTTCCTCAGAATTTTCACTATTGAGGGGTCCCTGGTCCTTGCTGTCATTTCATAACTCACAGCCCCAACTAACAAAACATAAGATTGAAAGCCTTAATGTTGACCACTTTCAATTACATACTCTCATGTTTCCCTCCCCAGTTCCATTTCTCTCTCCAGAAGCAGCCCCTATCGTTTATCCAGTAGATATTTCCCAGTTTAAATAATCTTATGGTGTGTGTATGTCCATAAGCCGTGGATAGCATTACTCTGAGGGATTTTTTTTTTTTCTCATTAACATTCAACTACTATGAGGTTCATATCCTTCAACAATGTATCACTCTCATTGTTTTTCAGATTTACCCATATCTATACATGCTCATTTATGTTCCTTGTATAGTTCTCCATCGCATGGATCTTCTGTAAACTGTTCCCAAAATGCTGTCATTGTGAGCATTACTGCCTTGAGCATTCTTAAACACGTCTCCTTGAGTTCATATGGGAGTTCGTTCAAGGTATAGTTGGAAGTGGAATGTGTCATATACACATATTTTCAACTTTAGTTTTTGCCAGCCTCACAGCCCAAGATAACTAGTATCAATAATTCAGTATATGTGTTTAAAACTTCATACAACTGTGCACATGCACATACATACATGACTTCACAGAATATAAGTACAGATAAATCTATCTCATGCTTTAGGGTGGGTTTTTGAGGGCTGTTTTCTGCATTAAGTGCCCAGTGCCCAACTGATGGACATTCGGGGTTTTCTCTGTTTACGGTATTTCAAGGAACTTTGTGTGTAAATACATGAACACACTAGTTCTAGTACATATGTAGAACAGATTGCGTCTGCTGGGTCCACCTCTCATTTTACAAAGGGAAAAAGGCTGAGTCCCAGCGAGCTAAGGTGAGGAATTTGGCCATAGACCCTGCAGCAAGTGAAAAACCAAAGGATTGGGGGCCACGTTTCCTACCATCTGGTCTCCAGGTCTTTAAGGGTACACTTGCTCCGCTTAAGCAAATAAAACATTAATACACAATACTCCTTTTACACACCATGTCCATTTACACCGTAGAATTTGCGATTATAAAGAGGCACTCTGGGTTTCACAAAAGTCGTGTAAAGTCCTACTGTTTCTGCATGGAAAGGAGGTCAGGCAGCCAAGTCCTGCCCCAGACTCTTCAGCCCCAGAAGGCTGCAAGAGTCAGCCTCTGGCTCCTGTCCTCAGTCCAGGCAAATCCCATTGACAGAGGTGAAAAGCATACTTGCTGCTCCACCCTAGGCCAGAGGCAGGACACAGATGGGCTCCCAGGACTCCGCCTGAGATTAGGGAAGGAGACTAATGACCACACAGTGCAGCAGCCAGTGCAAATTTCAAGAGACAGAGGTCTCCGTGCCTCCAACCTCAGAAAAGCAATGAGAAGAAAAATAGCCCATCCCATACCTACTTCTCTCCAGCAAACTTACTCACCTGCCTGTACTACAGGCCAGACATCCAAACCCAACCAGATTTCAAAAAAATCTCATCTGAGCATGTGCTGTACGTGCTCGCACACACGATGGATCTGTGCAGCCTTGATGCCTGACCTTTGGAATAGATGAGTTTGAACCCTGACTCAGCCTCTCATTAGCCCTGTAGCCTTAGGCAAGTTATTTGACCACCCAAGCTTCAAATTCCTCATCTAAAAAAAATTACAGATAAAATTAGTACCTACTTCCTTGTAGGATTTAGTGAAAAGTAAATGAGTGCACGTAGGAGCTCAGAAAAGCCCTTACCCATAATATACACTGAGTAAATATTCAGGGTACTGTCCTAGTGCTAGTGCCTGAAATAAAGACAAGGTCCCTGGCCTTAAGGAGAAGATAAATTTATCTGAGATTTATCAGATGTCAAATAGAAACAATAGAAACAGGTGTGGCCACCATTCAGAGGGAGTGGCAGGTACAATAAATGTGCCAATATCGAGGGCATATGAGGGATCCTCAAGAACTGGGGGACACCCTAGCCGGTTTGGCTCAGTGATTAGAACATCCGCCTATGGAGTGACGGGTCCTGGGTTCAATTCCAGCCAAGGGCACATACCTTGGTTGCAGGCTCGATCCCCGGCCCTGCCCTGGACAGGGCGCGAGAGGGAGACAACCAATTGATGTGTCTCTCTCACATCGATGTTTCTCTCTCTCTCTCTCTCTCCCCATCTCTCTCTCTCTCTCCCTTCCACTCTCTGAAAAGCAATGGAAAAAAATATCCTCAGGTGAGGATTAAGAAAAAAAAAAAAAAAAGAACTGGGGGAGGCCCTCACCTCAAGGAGCTGTTTGAAGGGCTGAGACACACACACTCAGAGAACAATCTGAACAAGGTCACACCCTTGGGTCCAGGCTGGGTCCCAAGGCTTCGGCAAACACATACTTATTTTAAGAATCATAGAAAGGTACAAAGTCTTATTAGACAAACTAGGTCCCTAGAGGCTCTCAGGCACGTAAGCCTCAAGGACACGGGCATGATGGAAATACTAAAGGCACGTAGTGTGCGAACAAGCCCTTTCCCATGCCCTTCCCCAACCCCAATCCCCAGGACTTCTCTGCAGATGCCTCACTGATGACCAGCTTCTTGGTGCTCTCTCTTCCCTCTGGTTCTCTGACTTTGTGGTTCTTCCACTACCCTGACAGCTGCCCCTTGGACTCTTTCTCCCAGCCTCCAGAAGCGGGTAGCTGCCCCACACCCTTCACTCCTCATGGTCCCACAGATACCTCATCTCTACAATGGAAGGTTTTGCCTGGCTGATGTGGCTCAGTTGGCTGAGTGTCATCCCAGGCACTAAGAGGCTGCAGGTTCGATTCCAGGTCACGGCATATGCCCAGGTTATGGGTTGTCCCCAGTATGGGGCGTGCAGGAGGCAGCCAATTGATGTTTCTCTTTCATTAATGTTTTCTATCTCTCTCTCTCTTTCTCCCTTTCTCTCTCTGAAATCAATAAACACATTTTTAAAAATAAAAATAAAATAAAATGGAGGGTTATTAGGAGGGTTAAAGAAACAGGCTGTGTGGCACAACTTAGCCTCGTTCCCCTCTCCAAGGATGTTGCCATCCCCAGGCAGATGGGTCCAACATCCTGGCGTCACCCTTCAACCTTCTCTCAGCTCCGCGCATCATATCCCACTGCACCACTGTCCTGTGCTCTACCAGCTGCCGTCACCCCTCCTCCACTCAGCATAGACTGCTGATGATACCTATTACACCGAGACGGTTCTCCTCAAACCCCTCAAAACCTTTCAGTTATTCCCAGTGCTTACTGAAGAAAGACTCAATGTTTCAGGCAGGCATGCAAGGCCTTCTGTGATCCAGCCCAAGCCCACCTTCCAATTTCAATCCACCATGGCCCCTTCCTCTAGTTTGAGTGAATCACTCGCTGGGTGGTACACCATGAAATAGGAATTCTGTATCCAAATAAGGGGATTAAACAAAGCTTGTCAGATTCTTACTGCACAACTTCAGCGCCTTTAATACCTTGACATGCACTCTGACTCTTCACATTCTCCCAAGATTATTCAGATTTGTAATACTTTATTTTCAAATAAAGTATTTGAAAGTTCAAGAACAATCTAGCACAATCTGTACCACACTGATTCTCCAGCAAGACTTTGGAATGTGCCCATTAAGTGGGCCAGAGACTGCCACGGTCATGACCATCTTAGGCATGTTTGTTGTTCATCACCATCACTGAATACAATCTCAGCAGGACCTTAAACCCCAAACTGAGCCAAGCAGCCTTTCTCAGCACACAAATGGGAAACAAATTCTTGACAGCAATGGCCTGGTTGGGCAAACAAGGGTATAGTTCTACCTTGACTGCCAAGGTTGCCTGCTTTCCTAGTCTTCCTGTCTAACCACAGACTTCGTTAAATTTCCTGTATGCTTAAATGAGCAGGGTTGATTTCTGAGGCTTCAAACCCAAGAACCTTCACTGATATAAGTTCTTTAGGTCCCTGAGCAAAGCCACCTAAATCTCCCACCAGCAATGGAGCAGCCAGAGCCACCCCACCACCACCCTGCCTCACGGTGCAGCACCTGTCCCGTCTGGAGTAGACCTCACAAAGGTGGGCAGCATTTTCACGGAAGCAGTGGGGTGGGTGGTAGCTCCAAGCCCTTTCTCCATCTCCTTTCGGAACCGCTTAGAGATCTCCAGAAGGGTCTCATCAGAAAGGCGCATGTGATAGAGATACTGGTCAACCTGCAGAAGGGGGAAAACAAGAGTAGAGACCTATAAGTTAAATAAACTATTGTATTGCATCTATGTCACAGAACATCACTCAGCCTTTCAAAACAATAAAACCTGTCATATACAGATGGTTATTATGTAAGACGATTTAACCAGAATCTATTTGTCAGGACTTTGTCTTTTAAAATAAACTAAACCAAAAATTGAAATTAGAAAAATAGGTTTAATTTCATTTCTGAGAATGGTGAAAACTAGAAGAAAGGCCTATTAGGGAAGTGAAGAGTTCTTTTCAGAAAAGTTGAGTTTTAATGTCTAAGACACCCCTTGAACCAGAGTTCTGTACTTACACAATCCCCAATTCTACTTTTACCTCTTCCATCCATTTCCCACCCCCAGCCAGATTCTGTCATTATTCCCCTGCTTAAAACTTTTCAGTGGCTTTCCATTAGAACCAAGCCCCTTGGAAATCCTTCCAGGGCTCTATATGATCTGGCCTCCCCCCACCTCCTAATCTCATTGCATGCCTCTGTACTCCTGTACAGACTTTATCCTCAGTTCAGTTCCCCACTCACCCAACTCGTCCTTCCTGCCTCGGAGCCTGTTCACAAAGGCCCTATAGCTCCTTACCCCACTCTACATCTGCCATCTGACCTCTTACCAATCTTTCAAGCTTCTCTCCCCAGAGGCCTTGTCCCAATAAAATAATCAGGCCTCCCATTATTCCAAGAATTCAGACTTTTCCCCTCACAAAACTATCCACAATTTGGAAATATATTTTTATTAATGTCCAAATATAAGCACCAAGGGCAAGAAGAGCTATGTCTATTAGCTCCCTGCATCCCTGGAGCCTAGTGCAGTGCCTGACACATAATAGAGACTCTACATATATAGCAATGCAACCTCTCTTCTTTTCAGAGATGGAAGCGGTTTTCCATTGCTATTTTACTGATCTTGTTTCCAACAAATATTTACATGAACTTTTCCCAGATCTAACATCAGGAGAAGGAGAAGCATTAGGCAGTTTCCTTCTTGGAAGTACCCATCTGCTTTGGCCATAGATCTTCCCAGTTTTCTCCTACTAGGAAAAGATCGGATAGAAATCCATCCAAGAGGGCACAGAAGTTTCCACAATATCCCTGTTCTCAGCAGCAGTGTCTATGACAAGGGAGGCTGCCAGCCCTGGAGAATGTAGCTAGAGAATCAGGAACCTTGGACCAGGCCCCAGCTGTGCTCTCAAAGTGTAAAGACTATGGTCCTCCAACCTTTTCAGCAAACTCATGGACCAAGAGGAACCCTGCTCCTCCCAGCTCCAAAACTCCAGGATTCCCAAAAGCAAAGTTTGTCTGACAACCACCACCACTGCTATTCCTGAGGGCAACACAATTCAGTGCCCAACTGTCCCTTGCCCTTACCCAACTCTGACAAAGGGGCATAAATTTTTATTAACTTTCCCAGACAAAAGTCCTCATTAATATTATAGCCTATATTATATCTTCCAGCATTTTGAGCCAGGTCTTCTTGGATTTTCTTTTCATCAAACTTGCAGCCTAGGATTTCCAGAGAAACAGCAAGAGCTGTTTAATCCTTTCAGAAAAGGACAATCCCAGTGTCTCCCTTTGTGTCTCCTTACATTTGCTCTCTTCCTGGCTATACCTTAACTCCCTATGGGTTTGGGGCACATCCTTCTCTTTGGGCCTGTTTTTGCCCCTGTAGAATAATGAGATTGGCCTTCCTGAGATCATTTCAAATATCCTGATCAGTTCTCCTCATTTATCATTCTCATAAAATCCCAAAAAGTAGATCAGAGTCTGGAGTAAAATGCTGAGAGCAGCTGTAAGCAAGGTGAAGGAGTCTAGTGAATCAACCTGGCCCCCTTTCCATGAAGGTCATGTGGTTACAATACAGCAAAATTGGCAGCCACCACCTTCCCCCAGGGTGGGAAAGGGTGAATAGGAGCAGAGAAGTGGTAAAGGCCCAAGGCCATTTCTCTCCAGCCCCAGCCAGCAGAGGGATCAGACTTGCTATGCTGGGTTTCCAACGCATAGGAATGAGGATTTCCCAGAACTCCCTGTTGCCAGCATTTATTAAAGAGCTGCCCCAGACTAAGTCCACCAGTCTAAATCAGGAAGAATCCAACCGTCCATTCTGTTTTCCGATTTCAGATTCCTGGCACATTACTTGCCTTGAGTCCACTGTCTGCCTCAGCCTCCCAGGCTGTGGGGCTCCAGCCCCACCTGAGCTGGGTCATTGAGGTGGGTTTCCTTCAACACTGGGGAGCCAGGGTACTCCAGAGGAGGCCTGGCCTCCCCTACATGTTGTCTGAGGCTCCCCAGGTGGTCAAAGGGTATAGTTTCAGACAAGTTCCCTCTCTGTTGGTGCAGTAGGAGACACATCTCTGGTGATCCCAGGCCCAGGACAACTTGAGGCTGCCGGTTCCAGATCTGATGACACCTGGGCTTGTCCAAGGATGCTGTCTCATGGCTTGTGCATCTTGGTGTGAATGTACAAAGTCCAGGACCACCACACCAGAGGCCAACATCAGGTCACATCCAGGAGCCGCCCCGGATGCCCTCATGGGCAATGGTAATAACAGCAAACCCTTACGTAGCACTGACCCTTTTCTCAAGGTTTTACACCCATAAGTCATTTAATTCTCATAGCAGCTCTGTGAGGTGAGCAGTGTTATAACCACCTTCCACCAAGAGGGGAAGAAAATGTGCCCAAAAGAGCCAAGCCAGGATTAGACTGGGCAGATGGGCTCATCTGTGTTCTTGTCCACTCTACTAAATGAATCCCGTCTTCTGTTGGACAACAGCGGGGTCTTATACAGGCCAAATGGCACTGTGGGACATTCAGCCTAGCCATGCCCATTAAAAGGCCATCTTCTCTTCTAGCCAACCTCCTGATGCAGACAAGAAAGGTAAACGGTGGCAGGCATGGCCCATAGGACTGGCCTGGCAAGTCAGAGGGAAACAGAAGAAGCAGACATGTCTCTGGACATTTATCATGAGTTTGACACATGACAAAGTTGAAGCGCCTACACTACTACTTTCCCAAAGAGAGAAGCCTAGAGCTAGACCTCGCTGCCACCCACCCTCCACTCCACAGATGGCCCTGGTGTTGCAAAGGAAGCAGGAGAGTTCCAACAAGAGAGAGCAGGGCCTGCACCGCCTCCTTAAGAGGTTGTAGCATCACTTCTCGGAGCGTGAGGTCATGTACGAGAGAGCACAGGTGCAGTAGCCACAATTCTACAGTGGCCATTCTTAGTTTAACTTTGATGTTTAAGCTGTGACAAGGTTTATTGGAAATCCAGTTGGTACTTCTTATCTTTAACCTTCAAAGACTCTAAAAAGTTTAACAGTCAACCTCTACTTAGTCATGATGTCCTTTACTCAGTAGATTATAGCCATCTTTCGGTGTCAATGAGAGGTGAAAATGATATGATAGTTACGGCAGCTAACGTCTACCAAGCATTTCCTACCTGCAAGACACCAACCTAGGGCTGTACTGACTTCACCTCCACTGTCCTTTTGTAACAGGTCACTTAGTGGTGAGGGGCAGAGCTAGAAGGGAGGTGTGTCTGGCTCTAAAGCCAAGCCCTTGGGACCAGCACCCTAGCCTGTCCTGTGGGCTCTCTGCCCTGTGGTTTCTTGGATGACCCCAGAGCCTCAATTTCCTCTCCGTCACATGAAACTAAGAGAAAGGTTATGGAACGGCTGTGAAAATTGCAGCTATAGCACCTTGACCCAAACTTCCCCTCTTGCACAACATGATGGTATATCCACCCAAGTTCATTAGGACCACTCAGGCAGGGATGATTAATTACCTCATATCACAGTTTCCTAAACACACCACTGGGGCCACCCAGCCTTGGCAGGCACTGCTGTGCTGGGTGAAGGGTGGCCAAGGGAGGCAGAAGTCAGAAACTAGAAGCAGCCTCCATACAAAGGAAACTTTCCTGGAATGGGGAGGAAGTGAATGCACTTTGCAGAATCCTGCCAACGTTCACCCACAGTGCAGCCAGAGGGAGGGAGCACCAAGCCCAAAGTCATGGGAGAAAGTCATTTAGGAGATAACAAATGTACACGGGACAGTAGGACTGCAGCTAAAAAATACCCTTAGAAAGGATAAGTTCTTGGGGAAATGAGCTTAATTCCACTGAACATAGACAGCATTAGAGTTTGTCTAGTTTGTCTCTCTAACTCCAATAAGTCATGCAGCCTAGACTTGAATGCTTCCAAGCATGACAGGCTCACTACTTCTCTAAGTTGGTTAGCTTCTATTGTTGGTCAGTTCCAATTGTTAGGAAGCTTTTCTTCAGTCTAAGACAAATCTATATTCTGATAACTTCCGCCTAGTCTCCATTCTGCCACTTGGGATAAGAGTTCCCAACTTGGCTGTACATCAGAATGATATGAGTCTTTTTTAAAACATTAAGAATTCTAAAGATCCATTCCAGACAAATCAAATTGACCCCTTTAGGACTCTGGGTGCTCGAACATCTTCCCGTCTCATTGGGCTGATATCCACCAAGCCAATAAAGTGATAGCTGCAGGCTGTGTTCTGATCAACATCACTTAAGATCATTTTACCACTTTTCTGCCTGGGGTCTTTGAGAGTCGTTAGTTAAAATATTAGGCTAACTGTGAAGTGGTTGATCCTGGGTGCTGGGAATGGAAAGATAAACCTTGTACATGTTGGAAATTGTCAAAGCAGAGTCATTCAGGCCAACCTTCATTTTGTTGCTGGGGGCGGGGGGTGAAATACAGGCACCAGAACAATCAGTGTTCAAATCCTGGCTCCAGCACATGCACAGGTGTGTGACAGTGGATGAGTCCCTCTCCATCTGAACCTGTTTCCTCCCTATAAAACTGAATTAACAGCCCTACACAACAGAGTCACTGGCATAAATGGGGTGATGAATGTAAAGCTCTATCACCCCTCTTTTATTTGCACCCCTTCTCCTCTTTTTTCTCCTAGAGCCCCCTCTGCCAAGTAGCACCCTTGGAGCA